CACAGGAAAGAAAGAAAGAAAGAAAGAAAGAAAGAAAGAAAGAAAGAAGTGTTCCCAGTGTGAATGGTTTTCCATCTTTCATCCTCTGCAATATAAGAAAGTTGGGAAATTAAGAAACAAATTTAAGAGGCTAATTCCTCTCTACCCCAGTCCTTCTAACAGGTTAGTTTCAACAAAAGGTCGCCACTTTATTTATTTATTATGTAATATTTATTTTCACTTACTTATTACTTACACTGTTACTTTTCTATCCAACTTTCCGCCAAATTATGCTCTCAAGGCATATATTGTGACAAAAACGGAGCAAGAGAATTGCTAAAATGACCTGTTAAGGTTGGTCCATGCTGATAAGCAAAAGGAAAAATGTGTGTCACCAAGTGACAACAAATATTTCTTAGTGATTGTGGATAGATTTTCCAGTGGACCACTGTGTAAAAAACTCACCCTCACAGCATTTAAATAAGCAATCTCAAAAACAAAATGTTTCACCTACTGGCCTCTCCTTGCTGTTAAAGTCTATACCAGTCACAAGCTCTCAGCCTTGGACTAAATGTTTTATTATCAATGTTTTTTAACCCTTCGTTGTCACTACAACACCCATCATCCACACACTGACATATATGTGGGTCTCCTTCACCTTTTATCTTCCAACAACCTTGTGAAGTAAGTAGGCATGGATTGGCCCAAGATGAGAGTTTAGTGGCTATAAGCCAGAAAAAAGCACCTGGCTTCCTCAAATTCCAGTCCGGTGTGGATAAATAATGCCAGGACCGTTTGTATATCTGTTTTGGGCAAATATATATACTGTATATTTATTTATACAATAACATCACTAACAGTAGTATTAACCAACCGTTCATATCAGAAACCGCTTAGATACTGTGTGTGCTGTTTGCATTCAACATTTTCCCATTTTCCTATTGGTTCTTCATCCCCATTTCTCTTCAAATTTATTTGGTGATGTTCCTTTTTTGAAAACAGAATACCATTCAAAGGTAAATGACATTTCATACAAGCTCCGAGTGGCTGCAAGAACGAGGAAAACCAGCTCATCGTCGTCATCATCATCATCATCATCATCATCATCATCATCATCATCATCCCAAAGATGCCAGTGGCTGCCTTCACTCTGCAGATTCAAACAAAAATCCACCAAACAGTGATACCTTTCTTGGCCAACCAAAATGCACAATATACTTGTTGCAAGCTTTCGAATCCCCATGGGCTTCTTCTTCATCAAACAAGATGTTACAAACCAAACAGGAGGAAAAATTGGAGATGTTAGTCAGATGCCTGCATTTTGATGTTTCTGTCCTTAGTTAAGATGGTAAGTGGAGGGCATCTTTGGCAGGCTGGTCCCTCCTTCTGGCCATGGGGCTTTTGGGAGATTTGCAAAGACCAGAAAATTTAAAGTCAATTTGCACCTCAACAAGGACCCCTCTCTTGCAATCCAATATGCCTCCATTCCTATGAGGTCACAGGCCTCTCTCTTTGTAGATTGTGACAGATAGAGCACAGTGGTCGAAAATGCAGTAATCAGGAAGAAGAAATATTATATTATTGAATGTACCAGAAAGAAGACACTATTGAATATACTAGAAGTGTGTGCATCAGATTCCCCCCGCCCCCCCCCCCAAAAAAACCCTAATCTGTTTATTATTGCAATTAACAGGAGAAACCCTGGGCAGACAAACTTGGCATGTAGGAGAAGGAACAACTGTAGTCTTCATCATCATCATCATCATCATCATCATCACACTTTATTCCAAAATTGGGACCCAAAATGGCATACAATTTAAAATAAAAAACAACTGCTTGTACAAAGGCTCTGGAGATCCACAAAGCCAGGGAGTTTGTGGCTGACTTGTTGAACATGACCCCCCCTTTAAAGCTAGTAGCCCTGCTTGCAAGAGATTACTGAAGTGGTTTGAATTTTCTCTGCCATTTGCCTGCAAATACAGCTCCTGCAGACCTTCTGCTTAAAAAAGGATATTTCAAATCACTCTCTCATTTTGTCATTGAGAAATATTTACAGAAATCTGAATAAAAATCTAGTCTTCAGCTTAAACAAAAAATCATACAAAAGCATTAAAATAGAATCAAACTGTTACAGTCTGGACCTTATCACACGGGGCCAAAAGCAGCAAGAATCCACCGGGAATC